TGTTCGAAAAAATATAATGTCCGGCCGGTAACTCCAGCATCCCCTTAAGCGCGGCATTATGTATATTAAATAGTCATTCCACTCTTAAAAAAAGCATGAGAAGTCGATAGTCGAATGTATTGAAATCTCGAAAGTATCGAAGTGTATTGTTGCAGTTTTATCGCGACGCTGATTGGTTATCTCAATGTCATATGCGAAAAATATATTTTGACAGTTTATATTTAAATGGTTGTCAAAGGCAATATTGATCATGTGCAAAAAATATATTTTGACAATTTATATTTAAATGGTTGTCAAGGCAATATTGATTAGCAATTTATAAATGTTTCTATGACAATTGTTTACATTTCCTCAAGCTGTCAAGTTGTATTCAAATAAAAAAAAATTTTAAATATGTAAAAAATTAGGACGTTAATTATAAATTTTTTTGCAAAATTATTTAAATATATATATTTTGTGGTAGACTCAACCATAATTTTATAGTTGGATCGACCATAATCCGTTGTGGTAGATCCAACCATAATTTTATAGTTGGATCAACCATAATTCGTTGTGGTAGATCCAACCATAATTTTATAGTTGGATCGACCATAATCCGTTGTGGTAGATCCAACCATAATTTTTTAGTTGGATCGACCATAATCCATTGTGGTAGATCCAACCATAATTTTATAGTTCCCATTACCAAATATTTGGTAATCAGGACGAAATGATTTAGTTCCCATTACCAAATATTTGATAATTAAGACAAAATAATTTAGTTCCCATTACCAAATATTTGGTAATTAGGACAAAATGATTTAGTTCCCATTACCAAATATTTGGTAATTAATACGAAATTATTTAGTTTCCATTACCAAATATTTGGTAATTAGGACAAAATAATTTAGTTCCCATTACCAAATATTTGGTAATAATTACTAAATCACTTTGTCCTAATTACCAAATACTTGGTAATAATGATTAAATCACTTCGTCTTAATTACTAAATATTTGGTAATTTTTAATAAATATTTACTTGAATAAAAAAATCATTTACTTGATTCTAATGAATATTTACTTGATTCTAATGAATATTTACTTGATTCTAATATATATTTACTTAAATAAAAAAAATCATTTACTTTATTCTAATAAAGATTTACTTGATTCTAATAAATATTTACTTGAATACAAAAAATTATATATAAAAAAAAAATTATTTATTTAAATCAAAAAAATATTTACTGAAATAAAAAAAATATTTACTTGATTCTAATAAATATTTACTTGAGTCTAATAAATATTTATTTGATTTTAATAAATATTTACTTAAATAAAAAAATTATTTGCTTGATTTT